AAAATAATAATAATAAGTAATATATAAATAATAATATAATTAATAATCAATATAATAATAATATATAATACATTAATATTAATAATAAATAATAATAAATAATAATAATATAATATTTCCTTATAGCTGGGTAGCTCTAGTGAGGAAGGTGACCCTGAAGAAAAACCCAAGATGAGAGGATCGTCAGGATCGAGCAGTCTACGGTGCAGGGGATCGGAGCCCGAGTCGGCGCGTCGGTGAGTGGCAAGCGAGGCCACCGCGATCGTCACCGCGCATGCCATGCCGAGGGTCGGATACACTCGCACACTGGCGATAGTGCTACGAAGTGAATAGCAAGCTTGCGGCGACTCGTATGGAAGTCTCGAAACTAGGGTTGAGGTAACCCTTAAAAACCCTCGTCCAAGAAAAAGCCTCGGAGTTAATGCCAAGAATGAAGAGGTGACAACTCCAACAAACTATGATGACTGTTTCAAGAACACCGCAGCGAGTACTAAGTACCTTACGAGTAAAAGAACTGAAGGAATTCGCATAAAGTGAGCCCGTTTTATCAATGAAAGAGAGGAGTATTAGCACCTGCGCGGATCTGCCGTAAAAGACATACAGAAAACTTCATCTGACCTCTTGGTATAGAACAGTTAATGACAATCAAGGTAAACATTACTAGAATTGAAGAAAATAGGCACTATAGATGTTGAAGTAAGTGCTCACGCAACACCTGAATACCTGCAAAAGGTGTGGTAGTTTGCGCAGTGAACCTTACTAAACTGCAGGTGAGGAGAAATAGTTCAAGACTAGCTTCTCAAGGAGTAATTGCCTGTGGATAGGCTAACAATGAGGCGGATGAGACATATAATTCCTTCGCGTCCATGTCCTGACCGTTCAGCGTTGCTGCGTTAACCAAGAGAGACTTAAAGCAGGCAATTATCGGTCCTAACCACAATGTTCATTCTCAAACCAATCAATTTCCATCTGTTACAATTTGACACCCAGCATTCCTAGTATGTGCGAGAATGAAAGTCTATGTCATGTGGTACGCATTCAAGTGTCATGATCTGCACGATTCTATTCAATGCATTATTGCAGTGGAAACATTTCATCGAGGTCTAGAGAGACCCGTATATTAGTAAGCAGGAGAGCAATTCAACATTAAAGCCTAGAAAAAGATCAGCATATACTGAAGCAAAAAATTGTAGTCCTGAAATAAAGGTAATATACATTACGTGGAAGCCAGTTACTAAAAACAACATTACCTTCTTAGTAGTGAAAGAACTAATGCCTGCAATAAACCAAGCATAGAAACGTACTCAACGAAATTCACAAGAATAAAATCAAACAGAAAACTAACCTCGAAACCTCAAGTGAAATAGTAAATGGGAAAAGAAATCTTCAAGACCCCATCCAGTGAGGCAGAATAGTATCCATGTAGCTTGCGCCTGCAGCATACCCTGCAAGAGTATCGAAAAGCTATCGGAAGCGACTCGCCTCGTCTCCTAAAGAACACGGACAACTTCCTCAAAATGAAATCGGATGACCAATGATCAACAACAACCACTGGCTCTGAGACAAGTTCGATGGTAAGTGCTGAAAATAGATACACATCGCTATCAGAAACTCGCGCTAAGAAGAGACAAGAAGAAAGAATGGCCGAGAGAAAAAACAAGAAAATAAACAGATACGTATTCTCACAGAAAAAACGCATTCCATCAACCCATGAAATATAATTCAGTGGAATTCAACGGCTGATTCCTCGCATACTGTGAGCTAAATTGCACTGTCCAATCAACACCACAGATGTGTGTGCTATACAACTACACAAGTCATTGAAGATGACGGTATGATGCACATATACTTACCGATGCCTTCATGGCGAAATGAGAATCTACAAGAACTTGATCGATACTGCGCCCATTTTCTATTCTAGGTGTACTTCAATGCTACAAGTACACATGGGGCTGCTCTGGAGACAAATGACTCCGGCTCGCAGCAAGTCGATGACCTGCTACGTAACACAATACGTACTTTTAAACCAGGACAGAGCCTCATTTTAATGCTAGAAATGGCTCATTCCAGCTATAGATTCTCTCATATATGTAGTCGAATATTGTCAACATCGCGTGATTCGGACCACTGGCAGATGCTTCTCAGAGTGATCACTTTCCTCTGTTGAATTCATCAAACTGCCAAAGAACACGTACACTTACCAAAACGTTGAGTGTACACGCGCAGACTGGTCCAGCCTTTCACACATATAACCACATAAATGTCAGTGGGGGGGGGGGGGGGGGGGGAGGGGAACAGAGGAAGACGTTAACCGATTTCACACAACACTGTCTTATCTTCCGCTGTAAAAATACATTTCCACAAGACTAGTGCGCCGATCTAGATTCCAGTACCATGTGGAATAACGGAGACAAAGAAGCATAAGCAAAAGAATAAAGCCCTCAACAGAAATTATAGACGTGCACAACCAAGACGAATGCTACTTGCTTCAAGCTCGCCTGCGGCGCGTCGCTCGCATGAAAGAAATCCCACTCACAACAGTCTATCGATATCGTATAAGCCGAGTGCACAGAGAGAGAGATCGAGACCATAATGTCACGGAAGTATAAGCAGAAAACGGTCAATAAGCTGGAGAAAAGTGTTTCATAAGCTATATATAAAGAGACCATCAAGCGAAATAATAATAATAATAATAATAATAGGAATAATAATTTTCCGAAAGATTATGAAAGAGTTGAAAACAAACTGAATGGAAACATCAGAAATGATTCGTGAACGTCTAGCATTGTTAAGTGGAGAAAAGCCTATATAATTATATTAGGCTATACTTAAGTCTATATTTATTTAGTATATATAGAAAATTTGTAAAGATTGACAACAAAATTTGTCGGTAAGAGAACTACATGACAATGTTTTTGTCTTCTTGATTGTTGAAGAGGAATCGTGAAAAATAAATAAATATGATCGCCAAGTATCAGTCCAATATACGTAAGTATTACATCGAGATGCACGCATTTGTCTCACTATGGGTCCTTTTGTCTCAACGACGGAAAACTAAACTGCATGAAGATTTTTTTCCAACATGTTCAACTTGAGTTTTTCTATTCTTTCTTTGTTGAACATTTGTCATGAAAGTTAATATCTCACTTTGGGAATGTTAATGTTTGTGATTCATTGGGTAATAGTCTAAATGGAGGCAATATAATGATGTGTATTTGTCGTGAAGGATTCAATGTGCGACAGATGTAAAAAATACGTGGATTACTTTCCCTTTTATTCTTGAACCCTTGACATAAGAGTAAGTATCTCATTTTAAAATTGATGTGTTTTAGATTTATTGGACAGATGTCTAAATGGAGGGAAGTACGATAGCACTGCAAATGTGTGTATTTGTCCTGAAGGTTTCTCTGGCGACAGATGTGAAGAAGGTAAGTATTACTTTCCCATTCCTGGAAAATTATAAACTAATTTATATTAACTGGCGTAAGTGTACTGCCATTCGTGTGATGGACCGCTTATGAGACATAGTTGAACGACGAGTAACATACTTGCAGTTAAAGACTTCCAGTAAAACCGCAGGAATTTCCGTTCCAATCCAAAGTTTTGGAATCCAAAGGACATAATTTCGATACCCCACGTCCCAAAGTTCCCCTTTCGTCGTTGCGCCGCCACAAGATAATATTATTAAATATTATTTTATTATTTATTCATAAATAAAAATACTTGTGAAGTGAATATTAACACGAGAAAATTTTTAAAAAACACACGAGGGAAAGGAGGGTATGAGTACGCACCTTATGGATTTTTCATTATAAAAATAAGGGTTGAAAAGCAAGAGCCTTGAAAATTTGCTGGAACATTGTTAACGAACTAAGAAAGAACAGTACAAAATTAATAATCGTAATTTCACGAAAATAAATAATTACAAAATGGATGGAGAAAATGGCGAAATACGTACTCTTACCCTACGTGGTAAGTAAAAGTTTGCAGAAGGGAAAATGTAGCAGTAGTCATTTTCAAAAGCTCCAATGCCTTCGTAAGTAGAAGATTCCTCATGCCACCACTTCTTACCTGTTCCAATCCAATTCCATTTCCATTGAAATATATTCCTTGCGGAAGCAAAACGTTTCTCACATCAGCATACAGGAATATCCCAAAGCCAAACGTATTTTGCTAGTTTTAAAGATCATTAAAAACCCACTGTTCCCCCACATTTTATTTGAGGTAACGTTCATTGCGAGCAATTACCTCATGTGAGAGAAAGGAAATGTTAATTCGTGCACACCAATTTCTAGGGTTAACTAAGGAGACTATCGTTAGCTGAGCTGTCTAAAATGCATTCATCAGTTCAAGGTGCAAGTTAAGCGAAGTGCATCAATAAACTCAATTTTTTTTAACAACCAACATTTTAGTTGAAGTTATTGGCATGATAGTAAGGAAAGCAATTGTAGGAAAATATCATTTATCGTACGCGGCTCTCTATAGCACAAGACACACAAAAGATATGCAAAAAAATCGAGAATTCCAGGAATTTTGTCAATTTTCAAAAGGTTTGGTTCGTCCGTATTCAGCGTTCATTGTTATATCGTAATTATAATTTATAACAAATCGCTGAATATCGTCATTATAATTTTAACAAAAATATATTTTAAGTAAATTTAATACATTAAATTATTAGTATTCACCACACACTTGTTACTATCAAAGTACTTTATTGTGCGGCCAACGATATTGACCTCACTCGGCATTTTCAGCAGAAATGCGGAGAAATGACCCTACGCCCAGTATTGTTGGCAGACGCCGCGTAAGTGTTTGCTGTGACGTGGCAGCCGGTTTGAATTTCGCGCCGAGAAGTAACGTGTAAACTCAATTTTCTCCAAGATTTGTTTTCTTTTCAGATAAAATGGATCCGTCATTCTTCATAACACACATTATGGGAGTATTTTTTTACAGGGAGATTTTGGACACCTGCGTATTAATGCACGTTCATACACACGGACGGATGTACATTGTCAACGTTAGCGTCTGAACCCTTCCGACGATTATCACCAAAATTGATATTCCTATATCGATCTGACCAAACTCAACGTGAATTTCAAACGGATATTTTTATTGTTTGGAGTACTTAACATGACTTAAAATTTTTCAAACTTTACTAAAAAAATAGAAATTTCCTGGGAGAGAACAATGCACACTTATAAAAGATTCAAAATTACAGGCATCGTCGAATTCAAATCATTGAGCCTTCCGGGTCGCATGCCAACTCAAAACGAGCTAGTCTTTTATTTTTCAAAAATCTTTCCAAAATTTGATATTAAGCATTTCGGTCTGTAATTTGTGTAATTACTGTTTGCATTAATACGCATGGCCCGCTCGAAAAAATTGGTGTGACATCCGTCGTTTTAAAATGATTTGGTTTAATTTTGTCTACCAAAACAAGAGTTAATTAGCTGGCCTATATATTGCAGAATAACAATTCGACTACTGTCGACAGCAGCGGCTTTTTTTTACAATTCATATTTATTATGGTATCTGTTATTTTAGGCTGCGGTCCTCACTATTTTGGACGCAACTGTTCAGCCGAGTGTTCGAATTTTGCCACTGGCTGTAGAGGGATGATATTTTGCAAGAAGTACATGTCGTGTCGTTGCGCTACTGGATTCCAGGGAAACTTCTGTGAAAAAGGTGAATGAATCTGCAAGTAAAAATGAACTCAATTAATGGCAGTTTGCTATTATTTGTTAATTGTTTTTGATAATTATAGACTGTGAATCCGGATACTATGGTGCAAGTTGTACACAAAGATGTGGAAACTGCGAAGAATATTATTGCGACAGATTTACTGGATACTGTCCGCACGACTGTCAGCCAGGCTTTAGGAGACCTTTCTGTCGTACACGTGAGTTATTATTGCTTACATTAACAATTAACAACATTAAATTTCAATCAACTAACGTGAAATTTTATTTGTTTTGTCCAGCATACACGTATTCTAGAAGTTCTCCAACAATAACTTATCAAGACATAAATGTGGTTACGGTGAAGATAAACGCAGATGATGTGGAAGGCACAGGAGAAATCGAATATTATCAGATTCAGTACAAACAAGATGAGGTCAGTAAAGAATCTTCCTCAAAAGTAAGTTGACCAATCGTCCTCCTTTAGGGAGGACAGGTTTTGTCCTTACTCGAAAAGTGTTCTCCTCCTATCTGTTTTCCTTTACGATATTTTAAAAGTGATCTGTTAATCTCTCTATTCAGAGCTGCCGTGCAAAACTATTACGCGTCATGTGACGGTACTTTTCGGAATGACGTGATTAGTGATGCCAGATTGGGGGTATTCCCGCAGTTTTCAGTGGAGTTTCAAGTCGTATTGTGGGAAATGAGTAGTTCCCCTGACCGGAAAAAAAGATGGAAAATAATTGAGATCGCGGAAAATAAGCGGAATTTTTATTAACTATTAATTTTGTTACAAAAAATCGTTTCTAAAAATTTTACGTTTTTTTAAAACAATGTTTTGGTAATCTTTTATAAACATTGCTGTGAAACGTTTGTATCAGCGCGACATCTATATCAATTGCGATTACAGATATACTCTCAAACATTTTGTTCACAATCATCGTTGTTAATATTTTTTTTTATTCTAGGCGTTTCCGTAATCTTGTGAAAGCAACTGTTGTAAATATTTCCAGAACACGCATGAACTAGTTCCAAAATTTTCAATATGTTAGAAAATAATGACAAAAATATTCATCTAATAGAAAAAATACTCGTTTAATGAAATAATTAATAGGGCTCTAAGAACAATTTGTGTATTTTTCTTTAAAATGTCTCATTTATTGATGTTGGAACTTTCACTTTCTCGCACTTACTAACGTAAGAAGAGAAAGTATTGTAATCGTGCGCTGGAAAACTGGAATTTTTCGACACAAAAATTCCTATTGCCGGGCCCTAGTAAGAAACAAGTGGATAAATCAAATAGCTAAGAATAGAAACAAATTCCTTTAACACGTGGTGTAGCCAAGAATCCATGTTTTCTTGGTCCATCATACCGAAAAATCGATTGACTGCAATACGTTTGACTGTTTGTCCGTCTGTGCACAACGCTAGCGCATTAACCGTTCAGCCGATTTTCTCCAAAATTGATATTCCTCAATCGTTCTGGGTAATGTCACTATGCTCGGCATTTAGAGCCGATGTTTTCATTTTGAGGGTACTTTACATAAGTCCCCTCCGGACATTTTTAAAAAATGACTCAAAATTTTTTTGATTAAATTTTGCTGTCGAATAATGAGAAGGACGTTTAAGAGAATGGCGCAGGTTTCATTTTCGTTTAAATTCTGGAATTTGCGAAAATTGCAACAAAAAATTAAACTTCAAAATTGAAGAAAAATATTTTTGCCTCAGACAAAGTATGTTGTACAAACGTAGCTCTTTAAAAAGGGGTCGTGTACAATATTTTGGGAAAGTTAGTAGTTTTTGTGTAATTTGTGAAGTTAATGAAGCATATACGGGCGTCCTGTCGTACATAATGATAACACTGAAATATTGCAAGAAAATCTGTGCTGTTCAAGCACACACAGTTTCTGATTTTTTATCTTCCTCCTTTATATTGTAAAACAATTGGTCACCTTAATAATACTCAAGTTATGAAAGCTGAAGAAGCCTATTGATCTAATGGGAAAGAGAGTGCTTAAAAGTGGGTGTTATGTGTTATATTTGATGTTTAAATTTTTTTAAAAGATACAATCCCAGTTTTTAATTTTTAACTTCTCGCTACTGCTTATGCAGTATTGAAAAAGTATGAGTATTCTAATGCTAACAAGGGAATGTCGCGTGGGGGTGGGGGGGGCGAAACATGCCCTCATATTTTTTTCTTTGAATCTACATGCCCTTCTGATACCACAATGTAAATTTTGGCAGCCGATACATATTGCCAATTAATTTCAAAATGTCCAAATTTGTCAACATTTTCGTCCTATTTTTCGTTTCTACAGAGAACTTGGACGGCCCTCGCAAGCCGAGCGGCGAGCGCGCAGCGCCGAGGTTGGCGTTGTAGAGGGTTGTTTCCTCAAACCCCGAAATGAAATTTATGTCATATTGAATAGTGCAATTTGCATTCGAAAACTTTGAAGAAAAAGTTTGGAGCCGTTTTTAGGAAAAAATGGCGTTTTTAGTGTTTCTGAAAATATAGAATTTTGAGCTTTTCATAGATAAGGGTTGAGCTTTCGAGAAACTGTTTATGCGTAATAGAAGAACGCGAAAAAAATTATCTTAAATAGTAATCAATTGATTGATTGATTAGTGGTATTGGGCACGTCAACTACAGCGTAGTTGTCCAATTAGTCCCGTAAGTGTAATGCATGACTTTTCCCGGAAGGTGGCGGTGATCTTTCCCCCGCTGTATACCGGCGCCGACCAACGGTCGGCTAGGGGTTTTCCCCAAACAGGTATCTCCCACCTGCGAGGCAACGCCTCAGCCGGAACAAAATCTAAACTCCCGACCGGTCTCCTTGCAAGAGGGATAGTATAGTTCATGTTAATGTAAGGGAGGAGGATAGGACAAGAAAGAGGAAGGAAAGATTGAGCGCGGTGCGTGGCCCTTTTGTCAGGGTACTGCTTCGGCATCCACTTGGTTTGATCGGAGAAACCACAGAGATCTACCGTCAAAGCAGTCGGTCGCTATAATGCTCTTCCAGAAAGCGGCTGAATTCGACCTTGCTAAAAAGTGTGTTAAAAAGTCCTGCCTCCGTCGGGACACGAACCTACGATCTCCCAGTCAAAATGACTGCAGTGATAGCTCAGTTGATGTCCTGAGCCACCATTCCCGGTGAAAATAACCTTAAACTTTCGTATTATCAGGAACGGTCAGACGCCATCTTCTCAAAAACGCTCCAAATTGTTTCTTCAAACATTTTTTACGGATAGTGCTAATTGCACTGTTTAAGACGATATAAAATTCATTTTTGGATATTGTTTTTTTTTACAAATTACACAAGTGTAATTTTTTAAATATATCTCAAGACGTTAATACGCACATCTCTACCAATTTGTAAACTGATTGCATTTATAAGTAAGATATCTTTAAATTACTTCCAATTACGTTTTTCGAAAGCTTAAAAGTGAAAAAGTTTCAAATTTCGAATTTACCATGAGGATTTACCGCCATTTTCGCAAAAAGTTCTCTGAATTTTGCAACAAAGATGTCCATATTGGTCGACGTTTTATACTTCTTTAATATTTCGGTTATATCATTTGAAAACCGAAAAGTGTTTATCAATTCTATTGCTCAACAAATTTATCAAATGTTATGGAATTATTCCCAGGAGTCGCTTGGAGAGTTTGTGTACATCTGCCAAAAACGATAACTATGATTGGGTCCATTTTATTATTATTATTATTATTATTATCATCATTATTATTATCATTATTATTACGAGCAGTGGTAGCTTAGTAGAAGTTGCAGCAACTTGCTGAATGACACTGCACTAGGCAGATTATAAATCCCGAAGACACCGGACTCCCAGGGAGTCAATGTTGCCTTCTAGGAATTGTGGC